GCACTGAAGATGTTACCTAGCCAAGTGCACTGAAGATGTTACCTAGCCAGGTAACAAAACGTTTGCAAGAAAACAACCAAGCTCAGAGAACCCCAAGGACTCCACAGTTTGACCCTGAGCTACATATATTTGCTTCTATTGGTACATAAGTGAATCAGCTCAATCCAAAAGCAAAGCAAATCTTGAGAATTAGTCCTCTAACTGCTTAGGGTAATTTCAGTCTGAGTGTGTTTCAGAAGATACAGAGCCATTCTCCTGAACCTGGTTATGGTATTCAGAGCAATATCAAGGAAACTTAAGTTGTTAAATGTACTTGCTTCAGAACCAGATTTTTCATATTGCATTAAAATGCTCAATTTCCAAAAGGTCAGATTGTTTAACATATTTTGCATTTAGAACGACTTCTGTGAAATCTGTAAATTATCATCATTCCAGGGAGATGGGGTGAATTTTGCAATTAGGTCTGAACAAAAAATCCCATTGTCTTGGATTGTGCAGAATATAGTAAAAGTCCACTAGAGGGAGCATTATAAGAGGCAGACTGGAGTAATAGTTTGAATGGCCTGAGCCCTCCAAAAAGCAAACCTGATCTTCTTTTACTCGCTTGCTTTTCAAGACTGGGTTTCCACATGGATACCCTCTACAACTTGAGCATAAATTCATATGACTCTGGTAAACATTAAAGAGCATGCAAGATGTTTCCTGAAAAGTCAAAAGCTTCTAGTATTGGACAAGGCTACATCCAAAACAGTTGTAATGGGCGTAATTTGAGGACTTACTTCACTTGACTTGTAACCTCTGATTCAAGAAAAGTTCTCTAAATTTCCTGGGGGCAAGAAATATTTTGGGGGTGGCAAAGTGCCAGAGACTGTACTGATATACTCATGGCAGTCAAGAGTACAGTGACCATATGTCCTTTATTATAAAGGACAGTTCTTTATTTCAGAAAGTTATCCTTTAGATTTATTTAATTTAATTATGTATTTTCTTGGTTTTGCTCTTGAATTTTCCTTTGTAAAACAAAGTTATAAACAATTTATCCTTATGAACCTCCTTCAGATTTGCCCTTTTTTCAGGTTCGTCCTTTATTTTTTCCAAGAAAATATGGTCACTGTAATCAAGAGGCATATGTATCCAGAGTTGGCCTTGTTTACACAACTGAAATTTAAAGGATCTAGTCAAGGGTTATTATTCTGATTTGGCTTAATGCTTAATTACCCAAAAAAGGGAATTGTAGGAGTTTCAAATGAAGTAGGACGTGCACTATTGCTGGCCGCACTGGGACACTCACAGATTTTTCTTTAGAACTACGGACAGCCCCCAGAGATAACAGCCACGTGATCACTAATCCCAGGATGAAAAGATGGGAATAGAGCCGCTAGTCCTGCAGAAGCTGTTGACTCTTAACCTCCAGTCCATTCCATGAATGCATAAAACAGGGCTGAAGCTCATTTAGATACACTTCTGGCAGGAAAAGTGACACTGTAATGAAAGACAATAGGTAGTGCTTAGTAAATACAACATTAAAAGAAATTATGTGAAAGAAAAATATAGATGTAAACCTGAAGTAGCAACTGTGTGAGTGGTTTTCAACAAAGGAAATAAATGTGGGAGGTCTGGCAAGGTATGTGGATGATCCTACACACCTCTATGTAGCACCCCCCCAGCACATATATAATCTCCATTGCTGTCCAGTTTCAAACAGGCCATCCATGACTGATATTTGCTGGCAGAAAATAGTTCCCACTGGAAACTTTTCTTCCAGTGCAACTTGAAGACACCAAAGGGCAATCAAGATTGGGTGGGATATATGGAAAGGATCAGGATCCCTATCCTGTACCTGCCATGGATTTGATCCAGATAAAGAGCCCTGCACCTATTTATTTTTAAGAAGCCATTCATTCAAATTCTAATTATATGATGGTACTTGGTCCTCAATACACTTTCCTGGTGAAAGCACATAGCTGATATTGATCACAAGTCTTTTCTATGGATTAAGTCACAATCCTGATATGGATTCAACATGTTGAGTTCATGTAAGTAGGATCCAAATACTAGGAATCTAATTGTGTGTTCTGTGTGGTCTATGAGGATCTAGTTTTTATGCTTATGCTTATGCTTATCTTAGCCTTTTGATGCTCAACTCAAAGCAATTATTTTGATTCTGATACCTAAGAAGGACCAAATATTATCACAATAGCATTTCCTTCCCCCTTGAGTATATGCTGGGGACACAGGCACATTCTGTAATCTACATCAGTACAGTAAACAGCAGCAGCCAAGCAATTTTGCAGCCTGTGTGACTTGTCTGCTTGTCACCTGTCCAGCGCAATCAGGAGATGTTACTATCCGGGGGTGTAGGATTACAGGACAGAAAGAACCTGCTCAGGGCCCCAGTTATTTTTACAGATTTCTTGTTGCCCTCACTGAAAACAAAGGGAGTCACAATCAAAACAGGGAATCAGAGAGGCCTTTAGAAGACCACAAGGGTCTTAGTTAGGAATCCTGGTGAGAGGGCACGTCCCTTGGAGGGGGCATAAACTTGTTTTTATGCTCTGTCCATTTAGCTGGAAAAAAGAAATGGATTTACTTAGCAACTCTGTTGAAGAGACACCAGCCATTCATTGCCCAGCAGGTGGCCAGTCAACTTCTGAACCTTCTGGGTTCTCCTCTGTCCCATTCCCTTAACATCTGAATATTTTTGTTTGCTGCACATGATCCTCAGTACTGGCAAAATAGATCCAGAGGGCTTCTAAGTGAGTCTTTCATTGTACAATTGCCCTGCCTCAACCATGGACCTCCCTTTCCCTTTCCCTTTCCCGCCCTCCCTCCCTCCCTTCTTTCCTTCTTTCCTTCCTTTCTTTTTTAACAATGTATATGGCTGTCCATTTCACAAATGTGACATTGGGAGGCTAATGTAAGTTAAGAACTAAAAACAACAACAATCCAAAATAATTAAAACAGTTATATCAGCAATCAAATTCAACACACCTGAGGTCAAAAAAATTCATTCTACCTTGTGAATCAAATAGTAGACAAACAACAGACAAACCAATTAGACTAACCTAACATCCCTGCCCAACGCGTGATGAAAAAGTGAAGTCTTTAAAGCTTTACAGAAGGCTGACAAAATAAGGGACATCCAGAATTCATGGGGGGGGGGCGGGGGGAGGTGCCATAGGGCAGGCATTGCAGCAGAGAAGGCACATTTTCTAAATCCCACTTGCAAGATTCTCTTATTATATCCAGTTTTAATAAATGTAGTTTTAGCCATCCTGTGGAGTTGATTTCATCGTCTGGTCTATGTAGTGGGGCTGACATCAATCTTGCAAGTCTGATTGTGCTGTACCTCCTTCTCCTTATAGTTCAGTGAATTAGGGAGGTGTCTGTCTGAGCTGCTTCCAAACATTATCTGGACATTCTGGACTTAAAAAATGCTTTAGCTCCTTTTGCCTAGACAATAGCACCTGCATATCTCTGTCAAGGTCATCTTCCTTACTCTTTTCACGTATTCAAGGTTGGCCTCTCAATTAAATTGAGGATGAGGAGAGCTTTATTAGAGGGCAACCTGGCATTAAACAGCAACAGCCAGGAACCAGGGCTACTGAAGCTCCAATGACCAGGCACTGGATCAGACCACAGGGAGCAGAATGCAGTATTAGTGCTAAACACCAAGGCCATGTTTCCTGAGAGTGACATGCCCCTATCTCCACCTTTGGCTATTACCACCACGATGTCATCACCTGCCCATCCCTTCCCCTAACACACTAACCTCCCCAATTCCAACCAACCTTCCTCAAGTCAAAGGGCCCCATCATACCATGGATACCACAATCTACTCAATCAACTGGCTGAGAACTTCTGATATACTTCTGACTTGTACTTAATGACCCCAGTCACCAGCTTTCCCATCCAACAATTTATCACAACACACTATACCCCATTCACTTCCAACATACTGTTCTCACCAGGTAGGTGGAAGAAGGCCACAAACAACACTCCTATGGAGCTGGGGTAAGCTGGGGTGCAGTTCTATAGCTCCCATCTCACCCCATAACTCCCCTCTCTTTTATGAGGATTCCAGACGATCTCTCTTCCATTTGTGTCCTTCCTGTATTTTCCCCACTATCTTTTCTTCTTTTCACCCAAAATTCATAAATATGACAAAGGTGAAATAGCTGTGCAATGCTTTTGAGTTCGTAATGCTAGAAGATTTCCATCCAGGAGCATTACATTCTGAACCATAAGCCAAATATTGTTTTGAAGGTCACCTATGAGGGACAACATACAGCAACCAGATTCAGATTACAGGTCTTGACAATTGTAGCAGGTATGTTAATAATTGTCCTTCTTTTAAATTGAGTGTTATAGCCCAGAAGCTCAGTAAGGATGTTGATGAGGTATGTGTGTTGTGGGAGAGTGGGAATAACATTCATTTCTTTTTACTGCTCTGTGAATTGCTCTTCCTGTTGTATCTACATCCGCTCCTGGCAATAGGTCGCAGATTCAGAACAGCTTCAGCAAGAGTTAACAGCGACTTTCCCAAATTCTTTTTCTCCTTTCCAGATTAGAAGTCTTCTTTCAGGGCAACTGATTGCTGTGCAAATTATGTAATGACAGTATTTAGCTGCCAATCTCTCTGTGCTGGATATAATATAATTGCAGAATGTACATACTGTAGGTAGCGTAAGACTCTTATCCATTGTCAGCCCAGGATTCTCCCCTACAGGGGTATCTGCAGGGTGTGGTCAAAAAAGTATAGATGGCAGTCATATGTGCAATCATAGCTCTATGACACACATAAAAAACAGGCAGAGGTTCAATTGCACCGTTGTAGCTGCCATCCTGACTTTTTTGACCACACTCTGTGGACATCCATGCTCCCAAGCTCTCTTATGCCTTTCCTTTTAGAATGAACAATGCTAAAATAGAAAAAAAAGAGCATGGCCTACCTTTACTAATAGTAATCCACCTCCATCCACCTTTGTTGAATTTTGTCCTGAAATGCATATAGGACCAAAAGTTTCTATGGCAATTTATACTTGATTTGGCATTTACCTGCCCACCTGATAACGTCATCTTTCCTTTCCTGCAGCTGATTACATCATCTTGCAGTTTGGCCGAGTGGCTGATGATGCTTTTACCATGGACTACAATTACCCACTTTGTGCTGTGCAGGCTTTTGCCATTGCCCTCTCAAGCTTTGATGGGAAACTGGCCTGCGAATAGCACACCTACAATGCCATTATGCCTAGGTTTGTACCAGGTCTGGACCAGCCAGGCCAAATCTGACCAGTGCAAGCACAAATATACCTTACAATGAAAGGCAGCAGAGATGATATAAAGAGGAATAAGAGCTCAACTGAGGTTGTTAAACATCGCCAATATACCACTGGGAAAAGCCTTGCAGAATTCTGAACACATATTAATAATAGTATCATTTTAGCTGGAAATACCATATGCACATACTTGTCTTTAGCACCTTCCTGTGAAAATTTAAAGCCATGGTTCAAAAAGACTGAAAACATCTTAGGTTTGATACTTTTAAATTACTCACTCCTAAGGGATTTGGACCCAGCTGCCCATCTCAGGCTATCAGTGACTTACTGTATACATATGTAATAATCAAGACTAGGTATTGTTTGAATTTCAAGATTTGAGTGTTTAGATCAGTCTCAATCTCAGCAACTTTAAGATGTGTGGACTTCAATGCTGGTTGGGGAATTCTGGGAGTTGAAGTCCACACATCTTAAAGTTGTTGAGATTGAGAAACACTGGTTTAGATTATTTGCTGGGCTGGTGGGTGGGTGGATGGTTTTGTTTGGTTATTTATAATTGACATGGGGAAAGGAAATTGTTTTCCTGTAATGATAATGATCAATGGGTTAAAGACCAATGGGCAGGACAAGCTTTACTTTATTGTCTTTTCAAAAATCATGGCCTGCCTGCCAGTCACAGGAGTCTAGATGAATGTATAAATTCGTTGGTTGTGGACATATAAACTTTGTATAAATTTGTTGGGGAGGAGAGACTAAGGGATTTAGAGTTGAGTTGCAAATTGGGGTCTGGACACCTTTCTTTAAATACTAACTCAATATAGAAGGAGCAATATATATAAATTATGCATGCCCCAATGGGTGGGGACATTTCAGCACTTAGATAAATGGAAACTCTTTGAGAAAGAAACAGAGCTTATTTACAAAGTTTAAGCGTAGTGGAGAGCTGCAATTTAATATATTTCTACAAAGATGTGTTCTGTCTCTTTCTCTTTTCTCCCCGTTTTCTTCTCTTCTCAGTCCCCAGCTCGAATGACATTTCCTCAGCTGGGGAAGAGACATGCTCATGTCTCCAAATTAGTACTGCTCTTCCAAAACATTCTGGGATACTACCTTATCGTTCTGAAGAAGGTGGTTTGAAAAGCTGGCAAATTATCACCTTAACTTTTTAGCAACAAATATATCTGGCCAAAACTTGCTTGGCAGGATTCAGTTCCACCCAACCAGGTTGCCCTACTAACCATGTCTCAGATGGCACCCTCTACCCACCCCCAGCCCACCAGGAACCCAGACTGTACCTGTCTTTCCTGTCAAGAACCAAAGTAGTGTTTTCCTGATGTTTTGCCTGCTGTGCTTCATTTCTGTATAAAGAAACATCTCCACTCCAATTAGTTATTATGGACAATGATGGAAAAACCTCTCCCTTCCAGTACACTGATTGCTGGCATTTTGTTCTGGGATGTCAGAATGCCTGACCCCTTCTGAATGGACCTCAGCTGATGAACCTGTTCTTTTCTTTGATTTACCGATGGACCAGTGAAGTAGTGAACTTTTTCAGGTGTGTGTGTGTGTCTGTGTGTGTCCTCACCTCTCTCCCTTGTTTCTACTCTGCTCAGCTGCCTGCTTGTGGTGTGGCTGCATGCCCAGCAATTAACTGAGTTTTGGTAGAAAAGAAGCCGAAGACCAAGAAGAAGTGAGCTGGGTTGCTGGAATAATAAAAAGCTGTTTGTTTGCTTGTTTCACTGATGGAAGGTGAAAGGGTCAACTTTTCTATAAGTTTACTGATTGAGCCATGAACAATGGATCTTCCTTCCTTCCTTCCTTCCTTGTCTACTGATGGATACACCAGACAGAAAAGTATCAAGTACAGGGGAGAGTCAACAGAGGGGACCTCATACAAACATTCTAACAAAGGAAACCACATGTTCTCAAAGACCTATCCATAAAGGAGAAGGATGTTGGTGCTTGTTTCCCAGCATGAAAAAGAAGCAGGGGTCCACCAAGCAGGAGCTGTGGTAAGCACAATCCAGACAGAAACTCTGGCTATTACCATGGCCAAAGCAGACAAGAGAGTTGAAGTTTAGAAAGGGATTTCTTAAGCCAGCTTCATTTCCAGCCTGTTTACACATGGGAGCTTAAGGCTGCAGTGTGGAAGTATTCCTGAGAGGTCATCCATCTCTTGATCCTACAGGGAATGCAGACACCTCTTGGAAGCTCAAAGAATATTTTGATTAGAAGCTATTTCAAGCAGTCATTACTGGGCTGTTATGAGAATGTATAATTTGGCTAAGAGAATTTAGGCAACATTGGTAGTTATTTGTTAAATATCTTCAATATTCTGTGAATGTCATTTCTTTAATGGGATATTTCTGAACTTATTTGAATGGTAGTTTTAGCTCCATACATTAGTATCATTTCCCCTGGTATCATAGTCAGGGTGTTAATATCCACCTTTTAAAAAAACAGTTTGGTATCTTTATTATCAATGTTATGATGTAATTTTCACCAAGTTAGGACGAAGCTATTCCTATGTAGTTAAAGATAATGCTGGGAAGGAAGGAAGGAAGGAAGGAAGGAAGGAAGGAAGGAAGGAAGGAAGGAAGGAGGGAAGGAAGGAAGGAAGGAAGGAAGGA